TTAAACAAATAGTGAATCTGGGGAGAACGGTGGCTAGGGGCAAAGAGGAAGATCAGATTAAAAAATGAGACCATCACGGCATTAAATGCATTTCTCAAGGTTTTCAGCAACAGAGAATAAATTTAGCGTTGAAACATGATCTGATCTAATGGGTCTTCTGAGATGTCAGAGACAGCCTCCCCCAAGGTTAAAGACTGCATTATGAATTAAAATGTGTAATCTGTGGGCTGTGAGGAGTTTCAGCTGAGCTCGCCATTTATAATAAAGTTATGAGCTGAGTTTTATACTTGCAATATACATTTCCACTGAGTTGCTTCTGCACCACATCATAGATCTAGTTTAGAACAATGAGTTTTCTACAGACACTAATAATGATGCAGGATTTGTAAACAGCGAGGAATAAACCTTCTTGGGAAAGAGCTGTGAAGCATCGCTAATGATTTTAAAGCTTTCAAACTCTAAAACCAGATTGATGAAAAAACTTCTACAGGTTAAAAAAAATGCTAGCAATATACTCTAAATTCACCATTACTACAGCCACCAGATATTTAGTGGTCTGATTTCTGCATGGTCCGTCTATTCTACCTTTTACTGCTTCTGGTAGTTCCTACGTGAATGTCAGCCTAGAAAAAAAATTCACTCATCGCTGACAAATGTAGTTTATTCTAGAGTTTTTTTCAGTTCCATGTTCACAAAGGGCAGCTTTGACCTGTATGTGTGAGCCGTGTCAGATTCCAAACATGTTTTTCTACCGAGGCATCTGTCCAGTCACTGCTTAAGGGCAGTGGGTGATTGAGTCCACATACTACCACTATATTCCCCTGTGTCTCCATGGACACAGGAACATTACCACAGAAGGGACATTGATCACATCAGCCAAGACAAATGCACCTCGGAAAATTGCAGAACGAAAACCAAATCCTATTCCTCTGATGATGCTGTTAATCAAAAGTAAAGCATGGATAGAAAAAGTAGCTTTTGGGGAGGAAACCAAATGGAATAGCCAGACTGAAATTGACAGTTTTTTAAATGACAGCGATTTGGGTAAAAAAGCAAGAAACTGGCAATGGAGTAGATTCCATTCTAATTCAAATACACAGAACATTTTATTCAAATTATCATATTTAAACCTCCACAAGAAAGACCTGAAGATCCAAAGGGTAAAAAAAAAAGGTATGGTTGAGTGCGAGCGTTCAAGGAAATGATCAGAGATGTATTTTGATGACAGGTCGTAAGACCTGTAAAAACTCCATCTCATATTATGCTAATAGTCCTAAAAATCTAGACAACCATCCATGAGTGTCTAATGACTATCATTTCCCATGCCTTTGGTAAAAAGTGGCCACTTTGAAAATTAATATGCTTTCTGATCACTGGCTCCCTAATGAAAAGCAATTAGCAGCATATGTTTGCAAATCATGTGCAAAGTATATGCTGGGACTAAATGAAACCAGGGTGGTAACTGTGATTATCATGCTCTATGAGACAAACTCCCATAATGGTTAGTACTGGTTTGGCTGGTGAACCAGCATAGCGATGCAAAGCCTGAAGAAACTCTGATGAAGCTTGTTGCTAATTAAAACAAGCATCTAAAACCCAACATCTTTTCAGGAGGTTTACAGCAGCGTTACCTTTGTTAAAGTTCAATGACAAACCATTTTAAAAATACTCAGGTGAAAGTCATCATGGCCTCAGAATTCTTAAAGGGATTGTTCACCTAAAAATACAAATTCTATCTGCATTTACTCACCCTTATATCATATTCTAGGATTCTGGGGCCATGATGAGTCATATGGAGAAAGGATAACCTCAAAGTGTCCAATGGGTTCTATAATAGACAGCCCTTTGAAAGGGCTTTAACACCTAATTCACTCAAAAATGAATAATCTGTCATCATTTACTCAACCTCAAATCATTCCAAATCTGCATGATTTTTTTTCTGTGGAAAACAAAGAATATATTTTGATGTGAAAATCACCCTTTAAATAATGATATTCTATATTCTCAGTAGGTTCTGACAAAGTCTGTATTTTTAGCATTTATCTCTGATTGAATATTATCTGAACATCTGTAATTGTGGTTTCAGAGCCCATGAGAGAAACCAGTACTTGCTGAGGGTCACATGCGGTACTGTACTTACTGTGAAGAACATAAGGACTCAAATCATGTGTATCAGCAGAGTCAGACCTCTTATGAAGCTTCTCATTCCAGCATGTTGCCCCAAGGCCTGTCTGATAATATTGCAGCTGACTGGGCTGAAATCTATCCAGATTTACTTTCCTTTGGAAGAGTTGGCAGATTATAGCACTGTATAACGCATGTGCAGAGGCTAATTCTCGCCCCTCACAATTAGCCAACATAAAAATATGAGAGCTGATACTAAGAACATTTGAAGTGTACCAAAGATGTGAAAAGTTATCTGAATAGCAGAAAATATCTGCTATCAAATATCAAATAAAAACCAGCTAGAAAAATGTTTGAACTTTTGAACACATTCTAAGAAAGAAAGAAAGAAATATGTTAAAAGATGTGATGTATCTGAATTACAAATCTAAATTATATTTTGTTGAGCTACACTGCCATTCAAAAGTTTGGGATCAGTAAGATTTTTAATGTTATTTTTTAATGGAGTCTCTTATGCTCATCAAGGCTGTATTTATTTGATCAAAAATACAGAAAAAAAAACAGTAATATTGTGAAATATTATTGTAATTTCTAATATTGTTTTCCTAGTTTAATATACTTTAAAATATCATTTATTTCTGTTATGCAGTGCTGAATTTTCATCCGCCATTACTCCAGTCTTCAGTGTCACATGATCCTTCAGATATCATTTCAATATACTGATTTATTATTAGTGTTGAAGCTCTTGTGCTGCTTAAAATTTTTTGGAAACTGTGATAATTCTTTTAATTCTTTGATGAATAAAAAGTTAAAAAATACAGCATTTATTCAAAATAGAAATCTTTTCTAACAATATTAATGATATAAGTCTTTACTAATTTTTTTATCCATTTAACACATCCTTGATGAATGAAAGTATTCATTTCTTTAAAAAAAATGAAAGAAAAATTTACTGACCCCAAACTTTTGAATATAGTGTATATTGTAACACAGAATTTCTATTTTGAATAAACACTGTTCTTTTTAACTTTTTATTTATCAATGAATCCTGAAAAAAAGTATCACAGGTCCCAAAAAATATTACACAGCACAACTAACATTGATAATAAATCAGTATATTAGAATGATTTCTTAAGGATCATGTGACACTGAAGACTGGAGTAATGATGCCGAAAATTCAGCTTTGCTTCACAGGAATAAATTATATTTTAAAGTATATTAAAATAGAAAACTGTTATTTTAATTATAATAATAAATAATTTATTACAGGTTTTTTCTGTAATTTTGATCAAATAGATACAGCCTTGATGAGCATAAGAAACTTTTAAACGGCAGTGTAAATCATGACTTCAACAAACAAAACTGGGGCACATGAAAAAATTATTAAAAAAAAAATTCTGTAATAGACAGACATCTTTCATATAATAATGTCAAAAGAACCTTTAGATCATTTTTGATGTTTAAACTTGGATCACACAGGAATTTTCTGCTCAAAAACAGTGTCTGGGTAGTTTTTTTTTATTAGAAGCATAAACAAAACAGTCACATCTTTTTTAAAGGCAAAACTGTCACAGCTTTTTAAAATGGATTTTCAACAATGTGTGTGTATGCCTTTGATAGTGCCATCACAGTCATTAATTTCAGGATGCTGATAAAATGAGAAAATAACTGAGCTAGTGTTGAGCAAGGAATGTGTTAAATATTCTTGTCATTCCTCAGACAGGGACTCAGGGATCAGACAGCAGTATCGGGCCCTGAAAGGTCAGGCTCATTAAAAGTCCCTTACTTGTATCTCAATGATTCAAGAAAAAGCCCAAGCATTACTGGTACCCCAGTAATGCTTCCCGCGGAGCCATTACCAGCAACCCCAGTGGCCTTATGACCAGCCGACAGATGCTGTGCCTGTCAGACGAGAGGCAAACACTTCACTCCTTTTTTTTTTTTTTTGACTGTTTATCCATTTAACACATCCTTGATGAATGAAAGTATTCATTTCTTTAAAAAAAATGAAAGAAAAATTTACTGACCCCAAACTTTTGAATATAGTGTATATTGTAACACAGAATTTCTATTTTGAATAAACACTGTTCTTTTTAACTTTTTATTTATCAATGAATCCTGAAAAAAAGTATCACAGGTCCCAAAAAATATTACACAGCACAACTAACATTGATAATAAATCAGTATATTAGAATGATTTCTTAAGGATCATGTGACACTGAAGACTGGAGTAATGATGCCGAAAATTCAGCTTTGCTTCACAGGAATAAATTATATTTTAAAGTATATTAAAATAGAAAACTGTTATTTTAATTATAATAATAAATAATTTATTACAGGTTTTTTCTGTAATTTTGATCAAATAGATACAGCCTTGATGAGCATAAGAAACTTTTAAACGGCAGTGTAAATCATGACTTCAACAAACAAAACTGGGGCACATGAAAAAATTATAAAAAAAAAAATTCTGTAATAGACAGACATCTTTCATATAATAATGTCAAAAGAACCTTTAGATCATTTTTGATGTTTAAACTTGGATCACACAGGAATTTTCTGCTCAAAAACAGTGTCTGGGTAGTTTTTTTTTATTAGAAGCATAAACAAAACAGTCACATCTTTTTTAAAGGCAAAACTGTCACAGCTTTTTAAAATGGATTTTCAACAATGTGTGTGTATGCCTTTGATAGTGCCATCACAGTCATTAATTTCAGGATGCTGATAAAATGAGAAAATAACTGAGCTAGTGTTGAGCAAGGAATGTGTTAAATATTCTTGTCATTCCTCAGACAGGGACTCAGGGATCAGACAGCAGTATCGGGCCCTGAAAGGTCAGGCTCATTAAAAGTCCCTTACTTGTATCTCAATGATTCAAGAAAAAGCCCAAGCATTACTGGTACCCCAGTAATGCTTCCCGCGGAGCCATTACCAGCAACCCCAGTGGCCTTATGACCAGCCGACAGATGCTGTGCCTGTCAGACGAGAGGCAAACACTTCACTCCTTTTTTTTTTTTTTTGCCAGGCCGATA